ATAAAAAAAAAAAAAAAACTGACATCTATTGTATATAAGTCTTTCAAGAAGGTGGATTGCTCTCATAACCTATGTTTATAGGAGAGGTGCCCAAGAATACAGTCTTAAGGGTTTTGGTATCTAGTTCAGATTGGCATTTTAAGGAATCCAACACGCCGATATGAGTGAAATATTGTTAAAATGTCTGCATAGGATTCTTTGAAACCTGAAATCTGAAGAGTTGCCACACGACCATTTCATTGACCCCTTTGCATATCTTTCTGTACCAGTTGCTTCTGATTGACTTTACCTGTAGTTTTGAAGTATGTTTTAATCAATCTCATCCTAATTCCCAAAGAGAGGAAATTTTTTCAAGCATTTGCCTACTCAATTAAACTTAACAAAGCCTAGTTCAATACTTATTTGGGGTTGGTTATATTAATGCTCTTCTTGCATCACCCTATGTCACACTTAAATTATGTATATGTTCTGATAGCCCAACTTTTGTCTGATACAACATCGGTCCTATAGATTTTCCTCTTAATATTACAAGACACATTGATCACGGTGTTAACTTCTTCCCTTTTAAAGTCTGAAAATCTTCTCATCCTTTGATGGTCCTTATGATTACGTACTGATGGAGATGTGGCAAAATTGTGCTGCAGGTTGGTCTTCTATTCATTTCCCCAGTCAAAAAACTTTTACAAAAACAAGAACTGTAGTAATCATGGAGCTCATGATATCCATCCTTATTCCCTGTCAAGTGCTAACTTCATTTCTCTAATACTTTCAGAAAGTTCATAAAGTTAGAACTTGATTGCATGACTGAAATTGTCAGTATTAATTTGCAATTATATGTGTGTGAAAAGTTCATTTTCCAGTACACAATATTGTTTAAGAATTCACAATATATCAGTCTTTCCAATTAACATAAGTATTACCAAGTATCCATTTATGGCTTCACGATCTTTTATATACAGTTATGGCATTCAAGCTCATATTGCAAGAAATTAGTTGAGTTTTACAATTAAATTATTACACTACTCTGAAGGAACCTCATTTCTATTGGCAAGTTTATACTGATAAAAATTTTCAAGTTCTCAAATTCGCAATATTAGTAACCTAAAGTGAAAAGAGTGTATTTCATGAAGCAGTCTTCCATTTCACCTGTCCCCCGAACTTCCTTTGATGAACTCAATAGAGCTTTGTGCCTTCTCATATCCTCTGTTTAAATAAATACTTGCAAGTAGCAGGAAGCCATGAATCTGTTAGTTTAATTTCAATTTACATGCTCGGTAGATTCACTAATCAGATGGACATTTTTATTCTGGCCAGGTGGCCAGCTTACTTGGAGCACATCTAGACCTCATGGAAGAGTTTGAGGAATTTCGAACATACTTTGAGAAGACTGGTTAGTTGCTTGTTATTCAGTATTAACTGGTTGTATGCTCTGGTTTTGCATATTTAGACTCTTGTTTAGGATTTTCCGGCAGAAGGTTTTATTGCCGTTTTTGGAAGTGAATGGAGTATTATAATTTAAGCTTCATTTTGGGAATGAGACTTTTGTTCATAGTTGTTCCGTATGTTTATTTTATATGAAAATAAATCTGGAGAAGAGTTACCATGTATGGGTCCTATTCAAAATTTGAGCCACTTCTTGGTTGCTTAAAACATGTTTATGATGACAGGCAGAAATTTGACTGATTTTAGCACACTGCAGGATGCCTGCGGAACAATAAACATATCTTCCGATCTCTGAAGGCTGAGGAACGAGATGGAGACCGAGATCGCGAGAGGGAAGATAGAGAAAAGAATAAACACCGTGACACCAGAGAAAGGGATAGATATGACAGGGGTGTTGCCTTTACCAGTAAAGATATCATAGGAGCAAAAATGTCTATCTATGCAAGTAAGGATAAGTATTTGGCAAAACCCATTCAAGAACTTGATCTCTCTAACTGTGAGAGCTGCACTCCAAGCTATCGACTACTTCCAAAAAATGTATGTTTACTTTTGTGAGTTCTGGTTCATTGAGTATTCCTGTAAAGCTCATTTTTCACTCATTTTGGTGTTTTCTTAAGACAGTATCCAATTCCTTCGGTAAGCAACAGAACGGAAATTGGTAATCAAGTGCTGAATGATGAGTGGGTGTCTGTCACTTCAGGAAGCGAAGATTACTCTTTCAAACACATGCGCAAAAACCAATATGAAGAAAGCTTGTTTCGGTGTGAGGATGATAGGTTAGGACACTCTTGAAGCTTTCACTAACATGAGTTTTAACCCTTCTCAAATTCATTCTATCTATCTCTCCCTTCTCTGTTTTGCTCTCTGTTGTTCCCCTTGGTTAACAGTTTAAGTTTGTAATACCCGCCTTGTTAGTCTTTTGATGCTTATGCAGCTTGGCGGGAATTATATTTTTCGCGTCTAATACCAAGTCTTTTTTCCTCCTCTTTCAACATAGATTGATCAGAGCTTTGGCCACTAACATGAGTTTTAACCCTTCTCAAATTCATTCTATCTATCTCTCCCTTCTCTGTTTTGCTCTCTGTTGTTCCCCTTGGTTCACAGTTTAAGTTTGTAATACCCGCCTTGTTAGTCTTTTGATGCTTATGCAGCTTGGCGGGAATTATATTTTTCGCGTCTAATACCAAGTCTTTTTTCCTCCTCTTTCAACATAGATCGATCAGAGCTTTGGTACATTTCTGTGCATTAAAATTGGCAATTATTTATCTTTTCGTGATCCCAGGTTTGAACTTGACATGTTGTTAGAATCTGCGAATGCGACCACGAAGCATGTAGAAGAACTCCTAGATATGTTCAATGATAATGCAGACAGTTCCATTCGCATTGAAGATCATTTAACAGGTATAGGCTGATGAATCCAAGATGACTCTTTGAAGTATTTATTTTAGGTGTCTGATTTTATGCTCATTGCTCTTTTTCTATTCCAGCTCTTGACCTGAGGTGCATTGAACGTTTATATGGTGACCATGGGCTTGATGTCATGGATGTATTGAGGAAGAATGCTCTTATGGCCCTGCCAATTATATTAACCCGGTTGAAGCAGAAACAAGAAGAGTGGGCAAGGTGTCGCTCTGATTTCAATAAAGTTTGGGCTGAAATTTACGCGAAGAACTACCACAAATCACTTGACCATCGTAGTTTCTATTTCAAGCAGCAGGATGCAAAGAGCTTGAGCACTAAAGGTAACTTGGGCGGATATGATACTGATTTGGTACCATTTTATAATGTGCAAGTTTATGTTTTCTCTTCATTTGAGAAGTTTATTGAATGATCGATATTGATATGCACGTAATGTGGACAGACGCTTGTGTAAAAAAAAATTGCCTGTGTTAGCTATCCATATTACCCTCTTAACCTTTAACAGACATCAGCATCTTATTTAAATTGTCTTAAATGCATGCTTTGCTTTTCTATATATTTTTCTCGCATTTCCCCATGGGTATCAGCTAACAGTTTCCCACTGGTTTGGGCATTTCCAGTTTTTCTTCTCATTTCTCATTCTCTTCCACATTAGGCGTCTAATTCGACTACAGTCTCCAACTGTTGTCATCAATTCTCTTTACTTGTCTTAATAGACCTATTGTCTCTTAGAAAAACATTGGTTCTTTCTATATACAAAATCCCAATTTAACTTATTGCTTGACAAGTTAGTTGGAATTCTAAATTGCATATTTATGAACAGATTCCCCAAACAGTGATTTCTTCTATTCTCTTGATTATAGCTATAATATCATGATATAGAATTTTGGCAGCATTTGTTTTAGGTGAATTATTATGATTTCTGCAACTTTTATATTAATTACAGGTTTTTCTCCATTTACTTAACTATTTCTTGTATTGAAAATCAATATTTTCTATTGAACCGAATTCCTTTTATTGAAATTGGTTTAGTGTGCTGCCTGTTTGGGAGTGATTTAATTTGAGGAATATCTCAGCCCAGAAACCTTATGTTCTCTCTCCTCAAATTCTATAGAAGGGCTTAAAACTGTACTCAATGATATTGACCTTCGTCAGACTGTGCTTATAAATTTTTTGTTAATTGTGTATCTTGAATTGGGCCTTTCAGCCAACATATCTAATTTTCTATTGGTTTTTGTATTTTTTAACGAAGATGGTTGGGAAGTGATGAACATAGTTTTATGCTAGGATATAATTCAAAATTTAAAGTGGACTGAGATTAAAATAATAATAACCCCATATTTTGTTTTATTGCATTAAGACTGGGCTTAAACTCTTTATTTTTCTTTATATGCACATTCTGAGCATTATAATTTTCTTACATTTTGCTGCAACTCTATATTTGGCATGTTTTCTGTGCATTATAGCAATGTGACTTCTGTTGAAATGCAACTCCTGATTCTCTGTATATACACAGGTTCTTTATAAATAAAATCAAAAGATGATAGACGTTATGAACTACTGAGATCCTCTCGCCACTATTGAATTGTCCCAATAATCTATTTCTATATCAGATTGATCTATTTAAATGATTCATATTGTCTTTAAGCAGCAGATTTTAACACATGAAATAATAAAATCCCCATTTGTATCGATGTATCAGAGATTGCATATAAAATTGATTGCTATAAAAAATCTAGAATCTCTGCAAACACTTCCTACTTTGAGGTAGTTGACTTTTAACCTTATTTGAATATTTGGGGATAGCTCCTTGACCTTTGCACATTTGAGGAAATGTCCGATGCATGTTTGCATTTCTTTTTGTTCTTTTGTTCTTTTTAATTTGAAACTATTTGAATATATATGGTCGTGGAACATATGATACTTTGATGCAAGCTCTCAACACAAGATACTAGTTGACTTTTTAAATCTTAAATTTTGTCACCCTTCGAGGGGGTTTTGGGGGCAGATTGACTAGATTAACAATATATAGCATTGAAAGTCAAAGTAGCTGAAATCTGACATCATTCTCAAGATAGATTGTGTGGATACCGCTGAAACAAAGTTTTCATCGTTTTCTTTTTCTTTTCTTTTCTTTTCTTTCTTCCTTTTTTTTTGCCTCTTAAACAAGTAATAAATTTTTATTTACCTCTCTCCATCCAGCGCTGCTGGCTGAGATCAAGGAGATCAGTGAGAAGAATGACAAAGAAGATGAACTGCTTCTATCTATTGGCGCTCGCAATAGACAACTTAATAAACCTCACATGGAATTTGAGTATACTGATCTGGACATCCACGAAGATCTATATCAGCTCATCAAATATTCTTGTAAAGAAGTTTGTACCCCAGAACAGTGTCAAAAAGTCATGAGGATCTGGACGACATTCCTTGAACCAGTGCTTGGTATTCCTCCCCGTACTCAGGGTGCAAAGGACACCGACGATGTTGTGAAGGCTAACAATCATGTAGCCAATATTGGTGAAAGGGATGGAAGTCCGGATGATGAAGCTGCTTCATTAAGTTGTAAACCATCAGATGTTCCCAGAACTGAGGGTGAAAACATTCCATCTTCTAGTTCCAGAAAAGCATCGGTGTCAATCAGTGATTACGGTTTTAAAGGCAATGGTTGTTGTGATGACGTTGCTTGTGAGAATGATATATTATGCAACACGGCCCAACGTGGATTAGTGCAGACAGGTGATCATGTGATACCAGCTGCTGCTGGCACCAGAAAACAAGCAACTTGCTTAGAGCAAGACATTCCAATTGCTGCTGGACCAGAGAGTGTCAATAAGTCAAATGCTTCAGATTCACACCATGGTCTGATTAATATTTTTCTTTTGTTCTGTCTGCATATCTTGTTATTCTTTGCTTTCAATCTCCTTTTCCAGATTTTGCAGTTGAAATTCTGATATATATTTTCTGTTGCTAGTTTTTTTTGCGTCTCCTTTAAGGGTTGACCGTGCCAATGATGGGAGTGGGAAAGAGATGATTCCTAGCGAAGAATCTCAGGTATATTTAGAGTTGCTGATATATTGATTTGTTGATATTTTCATCATGTTAATTACCTTTCTCTCCATGCTTTCAGTTTGCATGCTTATAGTTTTTCATTATCAGTAATGTCAAGAAGTGAATAGCCAAAACATTGTTTGTCATTCATCTCATGGTGCTGCTTTTAAGGATGAAAAAAGTTCGAGTCACTGGGTAGAGAATGCTGAAACTCTGTTACAATGGACACGGAATTTACTGCATACAAACTCAGAAACTTGTGCCTAATTGTATGGGAAGGAATTATTACATACAAACTCACATAACATGTGGGATCAGACATTTATGATTAAAACCATTAATATCTATTCCTCTGCTATTTCATAGAGAGCTTCATTATAGACCGTTTATGTTGATAGAGTAGGCTGTTTGAAGCAGACCTTTGATTTGAAAGTACTTGTTTATCTCCCCTGTGAATCAAACAAACTCCTGGTGAAACTGGAAAAAGGAAGGAGAAAAAAGGAGACGCAACCCTAAAATGGAGAGATATTTTTCATTTGAACACAAATATCACTGAAGATTTTGTTTCAATATGTTGTTTTTTCAGGCAATGAATGTAACTTCATAATTGACTTTATTGGTATCTGTTAGTTCAGTTGCTAAAGCTATGAAGATTCATGGATGTACCAATTAAATTTTAAGCTCATATCTTATGAACATTCGGAATTTGATTCTGCCTTTGGGCTTATTCTGAACCTGTTCTCTTGCATTTTTGTAATACTCATTTGATACTTCAGGGTGGTGTCTCTAGAAGACCAACTTCTTCAGTTGGAATTGTGCCAAAAGATTTCAAAGCTCAGACATGTCGTGAAGAATCTGAAGCTCGCTGTAAAAGTGAACGAGAAGATGGTGAATTATCTCCCAGTGGAGATCTTGAAGAGAATAATTCTACAACAGTTCTTAATACTGACACTGAAGCTATACATAATTCTAATAAATGTGATGTTAGCAAGCAGAGAAATGGAAAAGAGGAAACTTGTTGTGAAGAGACCGGAGGTGGAAATGAAGCTGATGCTGATGACGAAGGCGAGGAAAGTGCCGAAGGGTCATCAGACGGCGAGAATGCCTCTGAAAATGGTAATGTTTTAGCAGGTGAATACGCTGATGGAGAAGATTGCTCCCCAGAAGAGCCTGATGAAGATGTGGACCATGATGAGAATGATAACAAGGCGGAGAGTGAAGTCGAGGCAGAAGGCATGGCCGATATCCATGAGACTGAAGGAGTGGTGCCGTTTTCTGGACGATTTCTGCAGACTGTTAAGCCTCTTACGAAGAAAATTTCTGTGTCAGTTGATGGGAAGGAAAAGAATTCTCGTATTTTTTATGGAAATGATTCCTTCTATGTGCTTTTCAGGCTTCACCAGGTATAAAATATTATTGAATTATAGGGATTTTGTTTAAAAACATTTTTAGGATCACCTTAACAAAAAATATCCTCACTTGACAGATGTTGTACGAAAGAATACAGAAGGCCAAGTTGCACTCTTCGTCTCCTGAAAATAAATGGAGGTTGTTGAACGATGTGAATCCAACAGATTCTTATGCTAGGTAGTCTATCTACACTTTTGTATGTCTCTGTGTTTTGTCTTTGTATAAATCTTATATAAGCACTTTAAATAAACTTGAAGCCCTCGTAATCTGGTACAGATTTAAGGATGCTCTGTACAGTCTGCTTAATGGTTCCTCTGATAACACAAAGTTTGAAGATGACTGCCGGGCTATTATCGGAGCTCACTCATACCTTCTTTTTACATTTGACAAGCTGATTTATAAACTCATTAAACAGGTGAGCTAAGATCCGTGTTTTTCCCAGGTTTGTTTCAGTAGTTTCTGCAGCTTGACCTTAAAAATCAAATCCCACGGTATTTTCTGCAGTTACAAATAATTGCTATCGAAGAGATGGACAACAAACTTCTCCAATTATATGCATATGAAAGATCAAGAAATCCTGAAAAATTTTCTGATGCAGTCTATTGGGAAAATGCACATTTTCTTCTCCATGATGATAGCTTGCATCGAATACAATGTGTAGGTTAACGTTGTTGCTTGCCATTTTTCGTCAAAATATCTGATGTTATAAATACATTATTTCCACTGCAAAATATGCCTAATTTATCAAATGTACCTATTCCGTTGCAGTTTTCATCTCCAACACGTTTATCCATTCAGCTCATGGACAATGAGCATGATAAACCTGAAGTGACTGCTGTCTCCATGGACCCAAAATTTGCAGCTTATTTGAATAATGACCTCCTCTCAGTTGTTCCTGAGAGGAAGGAGACACCTGGGGTATTCTTGAAGAGGTATTGTGTAATGGAGAAAATTATTTGATAATTTTTAGCTTTACCAAGTTATTAATTATGGCTAAAATTTGCAGAAATAAAAGGAAACTTGCATGTGGAGATGAAATATCTGCTACTTCCAAGGCTATGGAAGGACTAATAATCTCTAATGGCCTAGAATGTAAGGTGGCTTGCAATTCACTGAAGGTAATTTGATGCAGTAACAGTGTTTAGTACATGATACTGGAAACGTATATACCAGATTTTAACTGTTTTTCGTGCAAGCTAAATTCCTCGAATGTTTTGCTAAAATGTCATAGGCTGCTTATGTTTTTGACACTGAAGACTTCTTGTTTCGGACAAGGAAGAGGAGGAAACCTTCTCATCAGAATGGTTCGTGCAGTGGAGCTTCCAACGGTGGCAGAGTTAGGCGATTTCATAAGTTGCTGCTTAGTTAGTAGTAGGCATTTTCTGTTGCTCAACAAAGATAGGTACTCGTTCAAATTTTAATATGGCACAATTATCTGATACAATGGCTGGGTTGAACTTGAACAAGCATACAGTTAGTGCGATGCTCAAGTCTCCCACTGTTTAAAAAACAAACCTTCTGACATTGTACTTCTGAAGTTCATTAGTGGCAAATTGGCTGCAATTGAATTGCAGGTTGAGGAAATAAAGAGTATTCAAAGCCGGAAGTAGGTGAACTTTCTGGAATTGTTGTGTTTTGTGTTTCTCCGATCCTGTTACATTTATTTAAAGGCTAAAAAAGGAGACATTGGCACGAGATCCAGGATTGTTTAATCCTCAGGTGTGTAGATTCAGTTTAATTTGTAATTTAAAAAAAATGTTCCCTTTCATATACTTCCCTTCTCAATTCATTGCTCTTTTGCAATGCAGTTCATTTACTCTCTCTTCATTGTCATTTGGGACATTGTTCTCTTTGCACGGAGTTGATATTTTTTTCTGTGGAGGATCTATGCTCCAATCTGTTGATTTTTTTTTAATTTAAAAAAAATAAAAATTCTCCCCGCCAGTCAAGGACGGAACTAGGATCGTAGAGTTGTGAAAATAAATTTCTATAACTAAAATTGCGGGGGTAAAATCTTGAAGTATAATGTTTTAATTGTGGGGACAAAATCGATAGCTACAAAGAATTTAAAATATGATTTAAATGATTTGAAATTGAGCATGGTGGCAACTGACTCGACTGGCCCATACTAAATCCGTCCCTATCGCCAATAATTAATCAATAACAATTAATAACAGAAATATGCTGAGCCATTTCATTCAGTTGAATTGATCTAATAACACTTTCGCTTCAATCACATACCCTGTAGCCGGATAGTTGATATTGATCACGATTCACGTAGTAAATAGTGAAAAATTATTAAAATGCGGCTGGCCAAGGACAGTCACTTGTTACTATTGTTCTCTAGGGGTGGGCGCGGATAGGTTCGGTTCGGTTCTCTTAGAACCGAACCGAACCGAACTTTTCGGGTATCTAGTAAATGGAACCGTCGGGTCCAAATATAATTATGGAACCGTTCGGGTTCGGTTCCGTTCGGTTCGGATCGGTTTGGTTCGGTTCCGTTCGGTTCTGTACTGTAATTAAATTTTTTAATAGTTATAACAATATTGTATAAATACAACTAATGATACATTCAATGGTTTTGGAATGTCAAAGACTAGGAAACTATTTTGTTCAAATGATAACTACGATCAAAGTTTCAGTTGGCGAAGGTCACAGTTTCGATCGGAGGTCACAGTATCGACCGATAATTGTATAGGTTTTGGAATATTAGCGAGGCTGCGAAAGTGAGTGCGAGAGTCGAGACAACGTTACGGACTTTGGTGTTGGTATTAGGGTTATTTAGTGGATTTGATCTTGCTTGGCTAAGAAATGAAACAATAAAATGGGTAATTGGGTCAAAAATTAAAAAATTAGAAATGAAACAAATTATTGAGCCAAAAATTTGGATTTAGAAATCATTAATTTGTTAATTTGTTTAAAAAAATTAAAATAATTTGATTTACTCAATATAAAAAAAATAAATTAGAAAGATTCGGTTCTTATTCGATTTTTCGGTTCTAGGTCTAGAACCGAGAACCGAACCGTACCCGTCGGTTCTCAATTCAGATACCCGTTCGGGTATTTAATTTAACAAGAACCGTCGGGTTCGGTTCGGTTCGGTTCGGGTTCGGTTCGGTCGGTTCGGGAGATTTGCCCAGCCTGTAGACCTCCCTTTACGACATGCGGGCAGGACCTTCGGAGGGGGCGACAAAGCGCACCATAACTTTGTCTCTGCAGAACAATTGCCTTCCGACATAAATGTTGCATTTTAACTGTCGTGGGGATTCGAACCTCCGATGTTCCGTATAGAACTCTTATACTTTACCATTACGTCATGTCCTTGTGCATGTTAACTCACCTTTTATTTAAGGGAAAAAGAGTGGAACACCTGAATTACTATTTATCACCCGAAAATTATTTCCTCCCGAAGCAATGTATCCGTGGACATAAGAACAAAAACATAAATATCTCTGTACGCATTTGATTCTTCTACTTTGATCAATACAGTATTTAAGGAATCTCGCAAGAATTCTATGTAAAGAATCAAATATGTAATAACAGTTGGGACCCAAGTTCCCTTCAATGTAAGTTTAAGCTTTAAAGAGGAAAAGCATTTTTCTTTCTTTAATTTTTATCTTCAGATGCAATGTCCCGTGCAAGCACGGTTATTTTCTTGTAAATGCTTGAGATGAATAATTTTTATAAATGAGTGGCAGTAAAACTTAAACTCCAAATATCGAAGAATTGAATGAGTGAATCCCAAAACAAAAAGCTCGGTGGGACTGGCAAGTCATCTCCCACTAGTAAAGGCGTCGAGACACAATTCAAAGTAGATACCATCACCTCATAAATCCCGGCCTACTCAGTCCACCCGCGCAAGTGGTCCTTCATGGTCGCCTTCTCTGTCTTCTCCTGCTAAGGCTGCACCCCCAATCCATATCAATTCCGTATCCCCCAAATGCCTTTGATTTATGGGGTTGGAATCAACTCCCATACATAAATTCCTATCTTGAAAATAAAATAAAGGAGAAATCTTTTGATATTGTCTAACAAGTAACATCTCACGAAAGTGAAATAGAGTAATTACCCTTGGTAGGTAACGACGGCTGAATTATGATTATTTGCTGATCTGGCACATTAGAAAAATGAAACAATATTTAAAACCATGTTAATGGCAGCAAAGGTTATTCTTGAAGATTGGATAAAATCCCAGCATGATCACCATCTAACATAATTTATTCATCTAAATGAATGATGAAGAACAACAAAATCGGCCTCTATTTCACAAAGGAATCATACTATATCACAAAGATCTCACCAAGAACATGAACTGTCCTCTTTCGAGTTATTCAACATAAAAAACATATTATCCAGCAAGTAACATTCCACCAAGGAACACAACAAACTAGCCACTACCGCACATAGGAAGAGGCCAAAATCACTAAGATATCACAGCAAACCGGGCAAAACTCAAATCCCACAGATTCGACTTAACCAAAGCTGAAATAGTACAACACCCATATGGATCTAAAATATTTTTTGATGATAACAGGTTTTGATTTCAAAAAATATACCAAGAATCAAGCCCTAATCTCACTAAAAGAAAATGATTTTCTACGCATAGAGAGTAGAGAGAGATGAACGGACCATATTTTGAGAACTAGTAAGAGAAGAGAGAGAAATTGTCATTTTTCTTCCTTTTTGGAGAGTGAGACGTGAGAGAGAGAAACTATTTTCTGGAAGAAAAGTCTCTCACATATTAAATGTGTATATTTTCCTAAAGATCTCATTGTTAGGTAGAGAGAAGAATCTAGAATTAGATTCAATAGTCAGGAAATAAACACGTGTCACGATCCAGTTGTAGAGCTCTATTAATAAGGTGTTATTCCAGAAACAAGTTTATTTCTTTTTCTAATTTTGGAACACTTTATCAACAATCTCCATCTTGCTTCCAAAATTTGAGCCTATAGAGTAGCAAAGAGCATCACCAACATTTATAACTTCATTTGCTCTATTGTACCTATACAATCAATGAAAAGAATCAATAGATAACATCTTTAAACAGTTTTGAAACTTATTTAAAGGTATCATTTTAGTTTCCATATCGGATGAATTATACAAAATAGGTATTTTATTAATTTTCAACAACCCTTTTGAAATAATATCCCTTATAAAATGGTATTTTACATCAACATGTTAGTTCTATCATGGAACATGTGATTCTTACTCAAATGGATTACACTTCGGTTGTCAGAATATAGTATTGGATTAGTGTCTACAAAATAAAGTTCATTCAATAAACTATGTAGCTATATGCCTTCTTTAATGACATCAGTGGTAGCAATCTATTCAGCCTCGGTGGAAGATAGATCAACAATTTTTTGTAATTGAGATTTCCAACTTATCACAGTACCCAAAAAGTGTAAAAATAAGATGAAGTTGATTTTTTATTGTCTTTATTTCCAACAAAATCAGAATATGTATAACCCTTTAAAATTACCCCCTCTTTGTCCATTTTAAACATCAAACCCAAGTTAGATGAACCCTTTAAGTATCTTAACAACCACTTCAAGGCTTCCTAATGAGTTTCACCAGGATTTCCCATAAATCTACTAAAAACACTTACACTAAAAGCCAAATCAGGTTTGGTACAAATCATTAAGTACATGATTGAACCAATAGCATTAGCATAAGGTATTTTAGACATTCTTTCAAGTTCATCTTCAGCTTTTGGACACGAATCAGATGTTAAAATAAAGTGATTGGCAAGGAGTAAATTCACAGGTTTACAATCAAACATATTAAACTTATTGATGATCTTATTCACATACTCTTCTTGACATAAAAACAGGCAATCAGATTTTTCATTTCTTATAATATGCATGCCAAGTACTTTCTTAGCGGAACCAAGATCCTTCATATCAAATTCTGATTTTAATTTGTGTTTGATATCATCAATTTCAGATTTATTGACACTAGCAAGAAGCATATCATCAACATAAAGCACAAGATACAAAGAATATTTACCTCCATTTCATTTGCAATAAAGACATGTATCATAATTGCTTCTATTAAACCCAAGTTTCAAGACGAATGAATCAAATCTGTTATACCATTGTCTTGGAGCTTGTTTTACGCCGTACAAAGATTTTTTCAATAAACATACTTTTTTTCTGGATTTCCTTTAATAAATCCTAAAGGTTGTTTCGTGTAGCTCACTTCATCCAATTCGTCATATAAAAATGCAGTTTTTACATCTAGTTGATCAAGATTCCACTTAAATTGCACAACCAAAGTAAGAATACATCTTATAGTTGTATATTTAACAACGGGGGAAAAAATCTCATCATAGTCCACACCCTCTTTTTGTGTGAAAACTTTGGTAACAAGCCTAGCCTTGTATCTAACATTGTTAGTGCCACCTTCCCCTTCCTTTATCTTATAAATCCACTTGCAATCAACTAATTTCTTATCCTTAAGCCTATCAACAAATTCCCAAGTTTTATTTTTGTATAGCGAAGATATTTCTTCTTCCATAGCACTTAACCACAGTTTAGAATCTTTCGATTTTTAGGCTTCATGATATGAACTAGGTTCAGTTTCAGATTCATCTTGATAAGTGAACAAGGACACAAAGTCATCGCTATTAAACCTAGTTGTTGGTTTAATTTGTCTCCTATCCCTGTCTCTAGTGAGCTGATATTCATCTAGAGGTGTATTATCATCATTATACTGCTCATGTTCAGCCAAATTAGGGTCGTTTTCATTCTGGTCAGCCTCATTAGTTGCTGTTTCTAAGGGGACAGAACTGGTATTATCAACTTCAATAGGCTCCACCTCAATTTAGACAT